TGCGGCTTCGTGATCTGCAAGAGAATCACAGAGAAGGCGCGGAAGTAGCATTTGAGGAAGTTCAAGTACTCGGCCGTGTGCGCAATCTCCAGACTGTCGCGAACCTCCATTGCCATCTGCAACCTCGCCTGAATCGCTGTTCCAACCAACAAAAACAATCCGAAAAAAAAAACCCCTAAAAACTCAAAATTCAACACCAAAAAATCGAAACGGGAGAAATTCACACAATTGTTCGAGTAAATTCATTTCCATTTCTGGTTTTTGGCTCCAAAAACAAATTGAAATTCGCAGAATTCAGAAAACGAAAAAAGGAGACAATATAGGATTTTTACGGAGGTCGGGGTCGATGAGATTCCGAGAATGCTGTTCGAAGTTCTGGACGGGACTCATTTTCGCGAAACAAAACCCTAGCTTTTCTTCAGCTTCGGAGATTTTCGACGAGAAAATTCGTTCCTCTGAGAGAGATTCTAGGGTTTACGGCTCTTCTTCGAAAAAGAGCTTCTTCTTCGGTTCCTAAACTCGTGGAGAAATGTACGAACAAGTATATAAAGTAGTTTCAGTTTTTGTTTTGTGTGTTTTTCGTTTCGTTGCTGTTTCGCCGACTCAGGTCCTCGGAGGACTCTTGAGGATTTAGGCGGAAAGTTGTTTCCTATTTCTGGGACGACGCTATTTTATAAACATTTTTCAATCTTTTTTTCTATTTGAGTAAATTGCACAAATACACCCTAAAATTTTGGTTTTCTGCAAAAACACCTCAAACTTTTAATTTAACAACTTTTACCTTAAACTTTAAAATGAAAAGTAAAACTCATTGAACGTGTTTACGACCTTTTTGTACTTTATAATGGAGCATGGAAAAATTTTCTATGATTTTTTCAAAATTCTTGCTGAAATTTCAAAATTTCTAAGATATTAAACTATCTTTAAGGTGTAAAAACATTTCTGACGAAGTTTTAGTTGATATATTGATAAAACATCGTTTTTTTAGTGATTGTGATGTATTTTTTAATAAGATAATTTGCATAAATGGTCATCAATCTTTTTAATAAGTGACAGTTTGATCTCTAACATTTTTTTTTTGCAAAATGACCCTAATCTCTTTAAAATGGTACAATTTGATCATTTCTATCAAATTCCGTTAAATTTTTAATAGATTTCCGCGTGTGAGCATCATGTGCCTTCTTTTTTCAATTAAAAGAAAAAAATGCCCTCTCTCTTCCACAGAAACCAAGAAAATTACAGCTTCCACATAAACTTTTACGTTTTCTTCACATATCTCTCTCTTCCGCACGTGAGCATCGTGAGGGTTTTGATCGAGTTTAGCCCTAATTGGAAAGGCACATGATGCTCCCTTTTAATTGAAAAAAGAAGACACTTGATGCTCACATGCGAAAATTTGTTAAAAATTTGACAGAATTTGACGAAAATGACCAGATTGCACTCGGTTAAAGAAATTGGGGGTCGTTTTGTTAAAAAAAAAAGTTAAGACTAAACTGTCACTTATTAAAGAGATTGATAATCATTTGTGCAAATTACCATTTTTAATATTGGCAAAAAGATAACAACACACACCAATAATAAAACTTTCATTAGATAAATGATCATTAATGGCCAAACCCACAAGAAAAGGCCAGCACCAAACAGAAAAGAAGCATTGTCGAACCAAAGCATGTGTACCGTACGTATTGCTCAATGCGATCCTCCAATACAATACTTATGACACCATTAGATGCACCACGACACTAAGGACGAGATATTAGAGTGCGTTTAGAGTAAGGATTCATGTCATGATTCGGATCACGGTTTGTGACTCGTTATAGTGTTTTTCTCATAACAAAATATACGTAAACTGAGAATAATTTTAAATTATGATTTTAAATTCATAAACAAAACGTCTCATAAGAGAACAGATACGGAAGAAAATTGCTCCTCGCAAGCTATCCAAAAGCATGCAATATCTGTCGTCTAATTTCAACTTAAATTTGTCCCATATGCTTCGTTGCAGCAAACGAGTTGGCTCGCGCCACCATATTGGCCTTATTATTGTGAGCTTCTACGCTCCGGCCAAAATGCTAAGCTTCTTTTTTCTCCCTATCTCTTCTCTCTACTGTCAGAAAAAACTTTTCACCATAACAATCATGGTTTTTGAAGGTAAGTAAAATGTGCTGAAGAAAATGTGGAAATAGAAAATAGATTGGATAGGAGGCATACAAAATTACTTTTCTTGAAGTGTTATTTTTTCACACTTGGAAAGAGTTTGCTAACAAGACTAAAAGCTAGGCAACATGCCTAAAAGATGGTGTTGAGACTTCGGCCAAAATGCTACGGATTTGTTCTTTTGAGTGAAAAATTTAAAAAAAGACAATTCGAGTTACAATTTTATTTAAGTTCATGTTTTTTTAAGTTTAAAGTCGAGTTTAAACTCGAGTTCAAACTCGAATTTAGGACTAAATCTCGAATTCAAGTTTCCCCTTCAACTCGAGTTCAGAAACTCGAACTCAAATTAATGAACAGTATTTTTATATTCTTAAAAATGCTATAACTTTTTCGTTTTAATTATGATTGAGATGATTTTTTTATATGCGTTGACAACGAAAAGACGAATAAAATCCTACCCATATACCATATTAAAATTTTTCATCAGCATTGAGTTTTTATTAAAATACTATCTAAATACAAATTCAAGTTTTAACTCACTCAAACACAAACTCAAAAATATTCTTATCTCAAACCATAACTCAAATGTATACAACCAAACACAAACTCAAGTTACAAGTTTAACTCAAGTTATAACTCAAATTCAACTCAAGAATTATACTCAAGTTAAACTCCAAAAGAACAAGCTCATTTCTTCTCTCTCTCTCTCTCTCAAAAGCCAACTTAAAACTTTTCTTGCTACCAAATCCTGAATTTTGAAGGGAAGTAACATATGTTGAGGAAAATATAAAGACAAGAAAGACATCAAATAGTTTGGATACAGAATGAACGTGTGGATTTGAGGCTTACGAAATTACTTTTCTTAAAAGTGTTATTTGTTCAGACTCGAAAAGAGTTTGCTAATGGGATTGTTGAGAAAATACCTCAAAGACATACAAAGCCACGAATTTTATAAATAGAAAATTTTATAGAATTCCTCGTAAGTTCATAACATTTGAAAACTAATAATTAGTTGGGATTCAATTTTGTTGATTGAAGATGTCTCTAATTGATAATTATTACAGTTAATTTCAACAGAATCGGTTAAAGTGAAGACTGCAGCTTACTTAGTTGGTTATATTTCTATGCCTAGCTATCAATTTCTTATGGGTTGTCTTATGTAATATATAAGAGAGGATGTATTTGATAGAAAATAAAAATAACAGATTTTAATTGTGTGATTACTCGAGAGTTAGAGAGAGAATTTTTTAGAGGGAGAACATTCTTGGGTGTAAATGGATTCTCTGGTGAGTGCTTGTTTCCTAAGAAAATCCGAGAGAAACTGAGAAGTACTCTTGTTAGAGAATTCCTGGTGTGTTGAGAATTCGCTCCTCTTTTTTTTTATTTTTTTTTATCGTTTCTTCTCTTTTCTGTCATTTCTTATAATATTGTCGTTTTACAATTTAATGTCTTTTTAGTTGCCGTTTATCTATCTTTACGTCGTTTATAATTTTTTTTGCGTTGTTTAGTCTCTCAATTTTCTCCTTTTCTTGTCGTATGTAATATACATCGTGCTCTCCTAGTATTGTCGTTTGTCATTTACATAGTCAGTTTCCTTCAGTTGTCGTCTCATATAATATTGTCGTTGTTTCTGTTTTGATTATGTTGTCTTTGTTTTTTCCCCGAGATTTCCTATTTGTTCATATTTTACTCTTTCC